AGAGCCCACACACACGCTCAGCCACGAGAATCAGAGCCCACACACACGCTCAGCCACGAGAATCAGAGCCCACACACACGCTCAGCCACGAGAATCAGAGCCCACACACACCCTCAGCTACGAGAATCAGAGCCCATACACACGCTCAGCCACGAGAATCAGAGCCCACACACACCCTCAGCCAACGAGAATCAGAGCGCACACACACGCTCAGCCAACGAGAATCAGAGCCTCACACACCCCCAGCCACAAGAATCAAAGCCCACACACACACACGCTCAGGCACGAGAATCATAGTCTATACACACAATACCATTGACAATGGTTAGTTTTTAGGTGTTTAAGGGTAAACAAATCCTTCTAAGTTCACAGGGCCTTTCAGTCTCATGTTGCATACAGACGTCTCACTTCTGTGTGGGGAGTCATGTGACCTGGCATGCTTTTTGTAAGTGTTCACATGTCTCTCTGTCTCCCCTCTAGGCGTTAAGAGAAACGGGGGGGGGCGGGGAGGTGAGGCGCCCATGCAGCTTAGAGAAGGAGGCCCGGAAAGGGCCTCATGCTGTCCAGCGTGGGTACGTATTCTCCGTCTCCCCCAAGGGGGGTGCAATCTCACTCCACCTGGACACCTTCTCACATAGCCAGCTATGGAGGGGGCCAGAAGGATTCCTCATTGAAAGCTTAATACCCCACCCACCCACCCACACCCGGCCTAGGCCAGCTTATCACAGCTGCCCTCCATTCCTTGGGGGGTGGGCAGATGGGGCCCGTGTACCACTCTCCTGCTGTTATTCACTGGGTCAAGGATCCAGGCCCCTCATTTCACAAAATGCTGGTTTACATTAGTGCTTATCTCCTGATATGGGAGTTATGGATGGGGGGCCTCCTTGCTGAATATTCACCACAGCTTGCGATATGAAACCCCTCCCCGCCATTATACATGAACAAGAGGTGCTATTTACAGAATAGCTCATCAGAGGATGCATTGAAATTAATTTGCATCATGTTGCACTTTGAATCACGCCGTGAGAGGGAGTCTTTAACAAGGAATGAAAATATCCGCCAAGGTCAGGTTTCGTGTCCTTACTGCCCAATCCTGTGTATCCGATCAGGGCTGCCTCGTTAATGAGAAGTCCTAATCCTCCATCATCTCCGGCAGAAAACCACAGAACCTCTGCTAATATTTTAGTGAATGTTTTTATTTTAATCACACCGGCAGGATTTGAATTTGGCCGGCGCTCTGGCGGCGTGGATGAACGTGGAGGGCATTTGCCGCTGGTTTCAGTGCCGTGAGCAAGGGAGGGACAAGGCGCCAGGAACCGGCGATCAGGAGCTGAGCAGAGTGGCTCGCGGCCCGCGAGGCTGTCAGACAGCCAGAGCGAGAGGAAACCTACCATCTACAGAAGAATAAAACAAAGGAGAAACCAAACGGCTGCCCACAGAGATAATGATTACGACGGTCATCAAATGGGTATCAGCGAGCAGGAATAGAAACCACCCTCCCAGCAGGCCGAGGATGGCAAAAAAAAGCCATGTGAGATTAAGTCAGGCGTGTCAGCGAAGCGTGTGCACGCAGCCTCGTTAAATAACGAGTACAGCTGTCCTTCACCCTCCATGGCGCTGCTCAGCATCCTGCGGTGTCCGAAGATAACTCACAAGGACAGAGAGCCCCCCCAGCAGGTCTTCCCGGTGGGGCTCCGGGCCTGGCCTGGCCAAACGGCAGCTGGTTTTTCTGTGACCAGAGGCAGTTGATGTCCATTCATGTGAAATTTCTCTGTTGTAAATGTAGGCTGCTTCGTAGATGATGCCAGCAAGTATCTTCATGAAATGAAGTTAAGCTCAGTTCTCGTTTGACCCATCTGCTGCGACTTGATGCTGATGCACTTATAGATACGCGACATTCAGGGGACGCGAGATGATCACGCTGAAACGAAAGCGCCAGAAGCACCAGAAGCCAGGCCGTTGGTGGAATATCAGGACAGCCGCACATTCCTACAGTAAATTTCAGCACCACCTTGCTGAATCACACTAACGTAATTATATATGAAAGGATTTCATGTCCGTGTGGAGGAAGGGGAACCGGGAAAGGAATAAGAGGACAGAGGACCGAGACACTTTAGGTAGGAAAAGACTCTCTGAAGACAAGTTAACACCACCTGACAGAAGATCAAAGCACCTGACAGTGACACAGTGCCACCATCTGTTTCCACTTGTATGCCCCCCCCCGTGCCCACCTCCCTGCCCACCTGCCTAGCATGGTCATTTTAGTATTTCATCATAAATCGGCAAAGCTCGGCAGGGAGGTGACAGTCAGAGCGGACAGGTACCATTAAGGGCGTGATAATTAGCGGGAGCGAAGGACATGACCTGCAGATGGAACTGCGTGGAGAGGGTGCGGTGGCACGGGGGCGTGGGGACAGTTTACATCCTGTCTCATTTTCCCGATCATCCGTGAGGTTGAGGGGTCAAGCAGCGTCACATTTACGGGCCAATCAAGCATGGCGGCCAAACAATGTTTACAAATCATAGGTGGCGCCGTTTCCAGTGGAGAGGGGCGGAGGGCATTTGTTACGGGCTTGTTGGTGTAGAAACTGGCGCCCTCGCCACTGTCTGATTGCTGCTCTTGTCACGCACTCGCGTCTCTGATTCGAAATACACGGCGCACAGCTGAAATGTTGAAATGTAACATTACGGTATTTTAAATTTTGAAAATAAAACTTTATTATCCAGCCCACTGATGGCCTGTGTCGCCCCGCGATTCCACTCCACATTCTCCAGCTGTAACAGAAACTGTTTTCTCAGCCACATGTTCCCGACAGATTGCATGTCAGCTCTGTTTTGTCGCCGTGGTTACTTGCTGCAGTAGCTGCATTAGCATAATTCATATTCTTCACATTCTTCCACTCTTCTGTAGTTGTGCTGCGGCTGATGCAGATGTCCAGTGGAGACATTGGGACACGATGGGCCGTCGTGCCGGAACAGAGCAGCTTCTCCGGCTGCAGTGGCGATTTCATCAGGAAGACAATCAGCTTGAATTCACACTTTCGAAACGCGCTTCGTCTGAATGAAAAAGAACAGAGGAGCTGGCAGAGTGAAATGCAGCCAAAATGCAAAGAAATCTGTATTCTGCTCCCCTCAACACGTGCAGACGATGAGCTGTTGGGGTCATTTGCCTCCTTTTATTAATTTTTAAATTGAATAATAGCTTAAGGTATGAACACTCCTGTTTATACTTTGTATTTTACAGACTTCACTTTGATATTTAATTAAAAAATTTGGAAAATTACAGCTTGTTGCTGCTGCGTGGTTTATGTTTTCTTTTTGACATTGTGTGTTTTGGTGTTTTCACCAGAACTAAACCAGTTAGTCACCCCTCAACGTCCCGTCACGCTTCTGCTTGCGGCCCGGGATTGTAATAATAATCATCTGCATGCAGCCATTAAACAAAGGAGAGCAAAAACATCTGATTTTTGAAAAATATCAAGACACAAAAAACAGCAGCGCCCCAGAGTGTGGCCAACACACATCATGGGAAAGGTGGCAGGCTGTAATCGTGTTCCAGGCTTGGTCGGGGGGTGACTGCATCAGCCTGTGAAGTTGATCAGATGTTCTGGCTCAGAGGGCGGTCTCGCCCTCACAGATGTCACACACAGCTCCTGCCACCGATCCACCGTGAACACACCGGCACAGACAGAGAGCGCAGTTATCCATCTTTATGTCCAGTCTGGGAACCACTCCTCTGGAAAGAAAGCATTTGAATTGTATTTGGCTTTGGTGACTGGACGACAGCCCAGATCCATGCCTCCGAATGACACCCCCAGCATCCGGTGGACGTGGCTTGTCAGGAGTCATCCTTTGTGGGGGAGGGGGGGCACTTTTTCGGTTAGAGATGTAAGCTACTGTCCGGGTTTGGCACAGTTTGAGCAGGACGCCTTGACCTTGACTCTGTGTGATGCAGGCAACACGAACATCCACTGCTCATGTGCTCACGAGACCAAACAATGGCCAATGCGTACATACAGGCAAATGGTGAACACATTTGATGTCACACTCGTCACGCATGTAAACACACAATCAGCATGGTTGTGGTCCTATGCTTTGCCTAGCTAATGACGTGTCCCTGTGCATCGGAGCAGCGTACCCTGAAGAGATGCCATGAAACAGAAGACGGTCCAATCTCCTCTGTGTTTTACAGGCCAATCAGTTGTGATGTAGTTTGGTATGTTTACATAAAACCAGGTAGCTGGAGCTATGATCAGTCCAAGTGAAGTCAAGTAAATCTTCACTGTCATCACCCCCATGTAGAATAATACCCAGTGAAACGAAATAATGTTCTTCCTGGACCCACAGTGCAACATTGACAGGGTAGACATGACAGGGCTGTTGTGGGATCTTTTACACAATGCAAAAAAACCCTCCCCAATTATCAATAATTTAAGGGGAAGGGAGGCAGAGGGAAGCATACTATCTGCCGACATGACGACGTCACATTTCACATTAGATAAACGGTGAACAGAAATCGTTTATACGGCATTGTATCAATATTATCAATATACCAAGATATAAACGTCAAAGCCCAGTTTGCTACTAACAACAGCAACACAATATACTGCAGGACGGCTACAGGAATCTCTTCGTATGAAACGCACCGTGTGCTCGCCAGCATGACAGCTGAGGCGCACAGCGAGAGATGAGGTGAACTCATGTATGGCTCGGAATCTGTTTGTGGTACAGCAGCCTCCTCATCCCATCCTGGGGAAGGAGAGTAGGTGGGGAGGAGATGGGGAGGTGGGGGGGGGGGGCAGCAGAACAGCTGGAGACAAAACAAATGATGTATTACCAATGAGGGCTGAATTATTCAGCTTATTAATAGCAAAACAATGCAATC